AGAGAATGAATAGAAGAGATCAAAAAAAGATGAAATACTTCTTATGGAAACTTTTTAGGTTTATGAAAATTTTTTAAGTTTCAAAACAAGTTCTTAGTATCATTGGTTTTTTTTCATAACATTTATGAAATATTTATTTAATATATTCTTGACAAATTCAATAAAAATAGACATTGATTACAAAATTAATACTTAATGTTAATAATGTAGACGTTTATTAACTTTTGAAACAAATTGCAAGTCTGTATTCAATTCCTATCAAATCGATTATATGAATATATAAAACGCTTGTTTTTGAATAATAAATTGCGAGATTTAAATAAAATATTTCTGATATGTTTTAATTACATAAATTTATCATAAATATTTTTTCACACTTAAAAAATGGACACTTTTATTTACATTGAATACAGTCTTTGACTTTAAATCTAAATTTTAAGTTAAAATGTGATATAATAATCCAAATATACATTATACAAGTATATCTTTGTATAACAACACTTACCAAAAGACTTGCGTTAATAATAACATTGAAAGCAATGAATTAAAATAAAAATGTTTGCTTCAAATACCTACATGTATCTTCGTCTCAAAATAGAAAATAGTTTTATTCTTTTTGCTTAAATAATGCAATTTTTATGGAATTCATGAAAATAAAAAATAAATGAAATTTTTAATTATGTTTCATAAATTGAATGTTTCTCTCATTATATACTGATTTGTTATTTATTACAAATCGAAAGAATGAAACTATTTATAGCGCTGTAAGCATTTTGGATGCAAAGAATAATGCAATTGAATTCACATTCATTTATAATATACCGCATATGAGAGTCAAATGCAAACCAATGCTCATAACCACTGTTTAGAGGGAGGGCTGACATTATTAACGTGATTATTAAATCACTAAAGACTAAAGATAATTTTTAAACAATAATTTACAATGAGCGTTACTAAATTTTAGGCATAATCTTCCTTTAATAAAACTGCTCACAAATAAAATGTCAGAATAAAACTTAAATAAACATTAATATTTTGTTATGAAGTAGATTATTCCTAATTAACAGTTTATTTAGATTTATTGTAAACCCCACTTTTATATCACTGTACACTATATAATGTATGAATAACATGTGAATAGTCTATAAAGTACACAACATTAATTTATAAAATTTACATCTAGATATAAATTTTAAGAGGTGTTGCTCATACTGTATGTAATATTTATAATAATTGCTGGTATATTAGTTTTAATTTATTTGATAATTAATAATATTGGTTGCTTTAAAATAAATTCGTTTTATAAGCCCTGAGCCCTCGAGTCAATCATTTCCTTCTCCACTAATATTATGATATTTTTTTAATTTTTTTAATTCTTATCTAATAATTAAATAATTATACTTTTGGCCGAAATTCCAGAACTTTTAAGTTATTTCTAATATTCAAATAAAATTTAATTAATAATATAATATACAGTAGAAGATAACTTTGGTATTAAGCAAAAAACAAACATTATGCTTCTAATGATTTATAAATTATATAAATAATATAATTCAATATATTAAATAAAGTACATTATACTAGAATTAAATGAAATAGAGTGTTAGTCCATTGGGATCTCCAAATAAAGATTTATATAATTATTAAATTATGTCACATCTAATGTGAGGGTTTGTCTCAAATCACATCATTTCCTAATAATTTATTTAAAAAATTAATGCTTTTTCGATACATAGAAATCAAGAGTGAAGTACAGTTGACATGAGTCTAACATCTACTGAACACATGTTTTGCTTAAAAAACAGATAATTTTTCTAATAAATATATACAGAATCTGTCGATAGACTATAATTAATTATTTTTATGATTATTAATGAATCATTTGACTATTATATTAAGAAAAAGGTTATTTTAATTTTTGATTTTCGCATAGATTAGATACAGAATGCATGCAATGATTGCAAACAAACAAAAAGTTGTTGCAAAGTTTAAAATCCAATATTTGTACCCAAAAGTAGTGAAAAATGTTTTACTAAAAATATTCATTTATTTTGGACATAAAATAATTATTGTTTTTGCAACAAATGGCTAAAAAACTTGAAATTAAATTAAATGACAGCATCGGGTGATTATGACATCACATTTGACTTATAATTAAAAATACACAAAAATATGATTATATTTTTCTTAAAGAACATAAAACTCGACAAAATGTGTCGACATTTTTCAAAGATACTGAAAGTCGTAAAACTGGTATCGAATTCAGTATATATTTTTATTTATATTATATTTATGTTATATATTTTTGTATATAAAAATAATATATTTTATATGATATCTGATATGAAAATGTTTATTTCAATTGAGGGAATAGCCAGGAATCCAGAGCCTATTGCTTTGTATTGCCGGAGAGGGAGAGAGAAATGCGGTATATGTCATACCTGTTGATTCTATGCACATATGGATTACAACAATACAATCATAACTCATTGTGTTTTGCAAATTATCTGTATTTCCCTCACAAATACGGGGGTTATGCAAGTGAGAGGTACGGCTCTTATGCCTAAGCAATGACAAAATGTTCCTGATTTTAGTCGAGTTAAGGCATATATACCTTACATTTAAAAGCAACAAAAAAGCAAAAATACTTGTGTACTATATAATAGTTGACGAGGATAATTTGTGTTATCAACTTTTCAAGTATATCATCGTTTTAATATTCACGCGCTGTATGTGAAGGGTCTGTGAAGGAGTGAAAAGCAGTGGTAAAGGACAGTATGGGTGCAGATATGGTGTACGTTATGCTGTTTTCGGTAATTCAGTGCTCAAGACATCGACTAATTAGCCAAAGAGTCTGTATTTGAATCATATGTAGCGTTCAAAACACAACATACTCTTCAAGGAGACCAGTGATAAGGAGGGGCTGAGCAGAAGCATAACGCTATTAAATGATGATCAGTTTGGTTCGTGTGTTGACTCTCTCCCTCACTCTCACACACACTCTTCCCTCATCGCCGAGTGTTTAACGAATATATTTTACTCGATTATATATTACATATGTTATACTGTATATAAAGCAGGCATTGAAATAGCATTGAAATCTCGACCCAATGCGGTGTTTGTGTTTCGGAATATATATTGCCTTCGAATCCAAACCTCACATACGGTGAGAGAGTGGCGGAGAGAGAAAGTGTCAGCGCTTTAGAGCACTGGCAGCCAGAATGAGAGTCCTCTACAAAACTTCATTTATCTCTCATTCAATGCAAAAACTCTCTGTTTGTGTAATATTTGTAGCAATGAAATGGTAGAAGAAAGTTGTGCTGCAAAATAAACTGTAGTTTTTACTCATATTTAGTTTCATAATGTTTAAAGTGACAAAACATTAAAACATGTGATTATGTTTACTATCGGCGGACGTATGTATTGCATGTATTGCCTGTGTTTTAGTTAAATAGCAATAATAATAGTACACAAAAACTCAAATTAAACTCACGACTCGACAATACATTCACTCTCACATCGTATGCAACACATGATAAGAGGGAGAGATTATAACTATATTTTGTAAAAATATATACCATTCTTCAAATTCTGTGCTCCGTATGTATCGCTCATTAGTGAAGCCTTGGCCTCTCGTCCGCTTCCCGGTGCGAATCGCAACCTCTCATACATTACACTAACATCAGTGTCGAAGTGTATATACTGTATATCGTGTCCTAATTATGTGTGTTTTCGTTGAGAAATGTTTTCTCTCCGTTCGCTATAAAGAAGTTATTTTAAGGAATTCCTGACTCTCGACGTGAAAAAGTGTTTATATATTGAGAGACACTAACAGTACTAACAGTACTATTATTAGACACTAATAAATGTATTTGTATTTCAACCAAAAAATTTCACTCTATTTTTGGCGTCCGTTCTTCACATCAATAACTATTCCTCTCATTATTTTTTTGCCACAAATTTTCTGTTCATTTGCTTTTGTTTGTTATGAAATTTGATAACTGATTGAAATATAATAATAATATGAATGACATTAATATGCTATTAATATACGGCACAAAAAGTGAAAGTCGGCGCATAATAGAAGGTAATAGATGTTAAACATTATATATTTGTTTGTTTTAAAACATTTTTGTAAACTTTGCATAAGTTTTTGTGTGTATAGATTTGTCAGCACTTAAATTATTCACTCGTTTTGATATTATTATAATGCCATCAATTTGTTGAATAAATACCATTAAGTCCTTCATAAATACATGTTAAATATTTTTTATTCTAGAATTATATGAGAAATTGTGATTTAATATATAGAATCCTAAAATATTTCTATCTATTTATATTATTTCAAACATAAATATATACATTATAAGTGTTTTTATAGCAAAAAATAAACTTTTGATACGAATCTCTTAAATACAAGTCGTTTTTCTATGCCATTGACTCGTCTTTATATGTAATTAAATGTTTGCTCGGAATTTAATTTACGATTAAAACCAATGAGAATAACAACACATTATTTAATGAATAGATAAATAAATGAAACAGAGTTACAAACAACACAAATCATAATCAAATTTAGCGAAACACTGGTAAACATGTATAGAGTTATACAATGACAACAGGTATTCATTCAACACAAAAAACATTGCATTTAAATTGTAAACTACTATTACCTTGAAGTTAGGGTAAAAAATAAATAAAAAATTGATTTTTTATGCAAAATATCTAAATATATATAAATATATTATTATTAATATATAATTTTTGACTTTTGTTGTTTGCATATATTGTGAATAACAATCGCACAAATCAACGATCAAATTCAATTCACATACAGATATATAAAACGAGTTTATTTTTAACACATATATATTGAAAGACAGCGGAAAAACTATATGCAAAACACTTATACGAAAAGAAGTTATAATTAATTACTCGTTTTACTGCCAAAAATTAGAGACTAATTTAGTTATACAAGAATATATGTGTCCATTAAAAATATGTGTTTTAATTTTGATGGCAAAATACAGACAGCATTTCCTATGGAGTGATCCGATAATTAACTATCGGATAATGTTTTCTTGAAGAGAAAGGTTTTTCCCCCGAAAACAACTGTCAAATCAATGTTACCTTAATTTTAAAAATTCATTTTTGATTTATTAACGCTTGTGTTTCTAATATTTCTTTTTGTGCTTAAAGTAATGTCACTTACAGTATATTAATAAGCGTCGTCTACCTCTCATTCTTGTCATGCATTTTTGCGTTAAAAAATAATAAATTTAATTAAAAGTAGGATATTTGAATACTCTCTTTAGTTATATCGGTGATAGACTTTGTTCCCATCTCTCTCTCTCTCTCTCTCTCTCTCTCTCTCATATTGAATTAATATTACATAAAACCATTGCTCACTTGAGTTGAGTTGGGTTTTCTCTCTCTCTCTCTCTCTCTCTCTCTCTCTCTCTTTCTGCGCTCTCGCAATATGTTTACGCTGTTTGAGTGATTGATACGAAAATTCACATTTTAAGATAAGTTGAGACAAATATTTTCAGACGATTGGACGATACAGTATGTAATTCTCAGTGAAAACTGAACGAGTGTTTAATTTATGATTAAGTCTGTCTTTAAACACATAACACCGAACCCCACAATGTTTTGTGCATTATATGCAGTATAAGAATATAAATTTTAAAAAAATAAAACTCTTAAATAAATATAAATGAACTCAAAAACTATCAAATAATCGGTTGATTACCACTTATTTTTAGCATTTTTGTTATTATATCTAAATTCTATATATATTTGTGAAGTCATAAAACAAAAACCAAATTAAAAACATATTTCTTTTGAAATATAGTGAATAGAAAATGTGATTTTAAACATTGATTGGAAGTTTAAATCAAGTGATTATTTGGTGTTTGGATTAAAGTAATTCATCGAAGGAAACAATGAGAAAAATGTATGCATAAAAATACCGGTCTCTCTGACACACTGTTTGACGAGACGTCGAAATGTTAATCAAAATTCAATGGCATTTAACCGTCAAAATCGGAATAATTGCTGTCTATTTCACTATTTTTCTCGACTATTGTTTGGCAAAAAATCTTTCGGAGAATATACCGCCCGAATCGTTGACCACTGAATCCATTACCACTGCCTTCACGTCCGATATTTTCTTATCGACACTGAGAGCGGACATCGGGGGCGCCGATCACTACCGGCGGACACTTCCACAACATTCCCACACCAACGACAAGAGCATCAAAATCGGTTATTTGACTAATTTTCAGGGCCGACAGAATGTGCAGAGACAGGGCATTGTCATCAGCGGTGCCATCACTTACGCCATCAACAAAATCAACTCAAACGCGTCGCTACTGAATGGCCGCAAACTGGAACTGGTCTTCAGCGACACGAACGGCACCACAATCGACGGCACGGCAGCCATACTGTCGCAGTGGCGTCAGGGAGTCGTCGCCTTTTTCGGTCCGGAGGACTCGTGCGAAGTCGAGGCCACAATCGCTGCGGCCCTACAGTTGCCGATGATTTCCTACAAATGCGCCGACTCTAAGGTCTCGCGCAAAGACGTGTACTCGACGTTCGCGCGGACACATCCGCCCGACACACAGATCGTCCGATCGGTGATCGCACTCTTGGCGTACTATCACTGGAATAAGTTCTCAATCATTTGGGAAAACACTCCGCAATACAAGACTGTGTTCAAGTCGTTGAGCGCTCGGGCCGTCGACCACGGATTCATCATCAATAGTGACCGAAGTTTTGAAAACTATTACGACTGCTGTATAGCTGTTCAGCCGTGTTGTCGGTCGGCATTCCTCGACATCGTAGAGGAGACATATCGTGGGACAAGAGTTTACGTGTTTTTGGGCAAAACAGCGGATTTGCATCGAATGATGTTAGTGTTGAGAATGCGAGGACTCTTAGAAAGCGGACACTATATTGTCATTTATGTGGATCTCGAAGAAGAGTATCTCATGACTCAGTCGTATAAATACATTAACACTCGCTTTGATATACCGGAGGACGAGAAGCGGGCGCTGACAGAAGCGGCTCAATCTCTTCTGGTTATAGTTCCGAGTCCTCCGAACGGAACCGACTATTCGGACTTCGAGGACAGGGTTCGCGAGTATAACCAAAAGCCGCCGTTCGAGTTGCCAGAGCTCCGCATACAAGGCGTTAAACTCAAGCGACACATCACTATCTATGCCTCATATCTGTACGACTCAGTGATGTTGTATTGCGAAGCGTTGGCTCAGGTGTTGAGGGAAGGGCTCACAGAATACTCGGGAAAGTCGATCATTAGACGGATCATTGAGAAGAAGCGGTACCTGAGTGTGACGGGTGTCTGGATGAACATCGACGAGAACGGCGACGTTGAGGGCAACTACACGGTGTTGGCGCGGATGACCACTCCCGACAACCTTCACATTAAAGGCATGAACGGCTCGCAGAGGCCGACTCACGTCATGCTTCCGATCGGCAATTTTGAATACGAAGAGCTGTCAAACCAAACAGTGTTCAAACTAGAAGGTGATATCAAGTGGGTGGGCGGCACTCCGCCCCTGGTGGAGCCCCCCTGCGGTTTTGATGGCTCCGGGTGTCTAGAGTTGGTGGACAACCGCAAAGAGGTGATCGCCGGCGTATTGCTGGGCATTTTGGTCACTGTATGCATCATTACGGCCGTCACTTATAGGAACTGGAAGTACGAGCAGGAAATTGCAGGCCTTCTCTGGAAGATCAACCTAAACGAGCTTATGATCGATACGGGCGCTCATCCATTGGGCGCCTCACAGATGAGTATTGCTAGTCAAACGTCGGTTGAGTCCCGCTTTCACAACAACCAGATCTATACCCAACGGGCCGTCTATAGGGGTGCCATCGTTGCCGTCAAACAACTCAAACCCAATCGCAAGAGTTTCGACATTTCCCGCGACATCAAGAAAGAGATGAAACTCATGAAAGAGTTAAATCACGACAATATCAACCAATTCATTGGCGCCAACATTGAGCCCCACTCTGTGCTCATTGTCACCGAATACTGTGACAAAGGAAGTCTGTACGACATCCTCGAGAACGACAACTTCAAGATTCCCGAAACGTTTCAGACGTCGTTCGTCTTTGAGCTGATCTCAGGCATGATTTTTCTGCACGAGTCGGACATCAAATTTCACGGCAATCTCAAGTCGTCCAACTGTGTGGTGACCAGTCGTTGGGTGCTTCAGATCACCGACTTTGGTCTCCACGAGTTGAGGGCCAACTCGGAGGTGGACTATAATGTGGGCGATCGGTATCGAGATCTGCTGTGGAAAGCGCCCGAACTTTTGCGCAACTGTGCGGTCGTCGGCAGTCAGAAGAGCGATGTCTACGCGTTTGCCATTATATTGCACGAGATTATGGCCCGGGAGGGCCCGTTCGGTATGAATGACTGGGAAGAGTTGACGAGTGAACAGATTGTGCAGTGGGTTAAGGAGTACGATAGGGACGAGCCGTTTAGGCCGGACATCAATTTAGTCGAGTGTCAGGACTTTGTGCGCCAAACAATGCAAGAGTGTTGGAGCGAAAAAGCCGAACAGAGGCCAGACTTCCGGTCCATTCGGTCTAAGCTGAAGAAACTACGACAGGGAGGCAAACATCATAATATAATGGACGGTATGATCGTTAAGCTCGAGACTTATGCCAATAATTTGGAGCAATTGGTGGACGAGAGGACGGGTCTACTCAGGGAAGAGAAACTCAAAACCGAATCCCTATTACACCGAATGTTACCGCAATCGGCGGCCGCACAGCTCATGCGCGGCGAACCGGTCCGGCCCGAGGCCTTCGACGCCGTCACCATATATTTCAGTGATATCGTCGGCTTTACCCATATGTCTGCCTCCAGTACTCCTATGGAGGGTATGTATGCTTTTATATTGGGTTCAAATGTCTACTATTGATAATGAATTGTGTTTACAACTACTCATGATTTGTCTATACATTGAAATTAGTGGTCAGTTTTCTCAACGATTTATATACAATCTTCGACCAAATCATATCCCATTACGACGTGTATAAAGTGGAGACCATAGGAGACGCCTATATGGTGGTGAGCGGACTCCCCGAACGCATCGGTGACCGTCACGCCAAAGAGATCGCCTCCATGGCTCTGGAACTGCTCGAATCGGTCAAGACTTTCCGCATTAGACACAAACCCGATGAGAAACTACAGCTTCGTATTGGCATACATACGGGTATGTGATATGTATTTATCATTTCATTTAATCTCTTGTTAGATATATGATATGATATGTAATTTCATACACAATACATATAATAAAATAATAAACACATCTAAACGTATAATTAATGTGATTAATACTGTGTATAGAAAATAATATTTCATTTTCTATTTAATAAATTATTAATGAGTTAAATATCGACTCATTTCGAGAGACAATATTATTTTACACAACAAATATTGTATTCAATTAATAATATTAATTTAATATCTAAACAGAGGCTCTAATTGATTAGGTTTTGTGATTCTATTATTAATTTTTGATTAAACCATAACTACTAATACCCTAAATATCTATTGATGTTTAATAACTCAATTTTCAACTAAATTATAATCCATATATACAGTAAATATGATCATCAAAACACATTATAGTCTGTATACTGTATAAAAGATTAGATTATTAGAAATTATTTATTAATATCTAACAAACTATAATCATATGTTGTTCAAGAGTTTTGGTTTTGAACAATGGTTATGATATGAAAATTGTAAGAATATTTTTGCAAAGATTTTCGATTGTATGTGAAAACAGAATTTGTTTTACAAAATTCATAACTCTGTGAATAGTAAAGTATTTGTTATTTTTATATAAAATTGCATAAACTCTCAAGTATTTGATCAAATATTGAACATTTATACTGAGAGATTAGATTGCATTCCTAACAATACAATCAAATGTTTGAAAGAATTGACAATTTTTGAAATATAAATCTTAAGCACAAGTATTTTCATACGACAGCACATAATATGCATATAATAATAGACATATCGCTTAACAGATTCTTTTATTGTGTTTGTGTTTTCATTCAACAGATTATAAATTCTTTGTGCGAGAAATCAAGTCGTCTTACAAATCAAAATCAGATCCACTTTCATAGGAGTCTAATATTAGTCTTACTGTTACTGAGATTATTAGTTTAATTGTTTGGTTCAAAACGCTTCCAGTATTCAAATACATGCTAATTATAATTATACAGTATATCTATTGGGTAGTTCATTATGTAATCATAGTCGAGTAATGAAAATTTAAAATCATTTTTTAATTATGAAGCAACCTATTATTTTAAATTATGTAATAGCCGATTGAATTGACAAATATTGGGCATCAATCGTACAAAGTTTCATTTATT